CTATCTGGGCCTTTCTCTGTTACAGAGCAGCGAAAGCCCCGGGTTTCGCCCAAATCGTTCTTTAAATGAACTGTACTGGGAAGCAGAGATTCGGCGCACTCATTATGACAGTCTTGCTGAAGCATGATCCATTGCTTACCGCAGAGTCTTCACATAATCAGTGTTTCATTAATTAAACTGTTGTCACGCAAGGAAACAGCGGTGGACATGTGTCGATTTTGCATTATAACCCGGTTATGGTCGCCTAGCAACCAAACCGGAGGCGGAGAGAAGAAGAACGCTGTATGATGGGATCCCATGGTAGGTTGTACAAATGAATGTAGTTCCTCCACCTTTGCTCATAGAGGTGACAACTGTGCTGCACCGCTGCAACTTGTGACGTCACATGGGTGATTCAGTGATGCTTTCAGTATCGAAACTGTGTATCGTTGGATAGTAAGCGAATGATTAAAGAATTAAAGGGAAGCGGTCGTGGCCTAATCGAAGTGTTATCTCGGTATTTGCCTGAAGGGACTGAGGAAACGACCCAAGACCTCAGTTAAGTCATCCGGTGCTCTGGCCGAGGTTCGAACTGTGTCCCTCTCGAATACAAGTCTACAACGTTACCTCTAGAGCAGTCTACATTTTGTTTTCCGCTTTAAGGAGAGTAAATTTAAGAAACCCCCGGGCGAAGAACGGGTACTTCGCTAGCATTTTGTACGAGTTCCAGAAGATATGAGATTGTGAATGCCTCTTCCCTGTGTGAACAGCTCCCTGTGGTCGATATGTCTCGAACTGCAGACACAGCATGGATCAAAGCTAATTAGTAAGGTACACATTGTGAGGTAATTAATGTTAATTATCCGTTTTGCTAGGCTTCTCTTAGCTCTACAGGCTGGAGGGAGTCACACGGTGTCTCTGGTAATTACCGCAAACAGGGGATCGATCTAACAGGTAAACAATACAGCCTTTGGTGCATAATCTTACCAGAGCCCTTCATTTGAGCGCATTAAGCGGTATCTACTTGTACCGCCTCTCATAACTTGAGAAGACTACAAATTCGTGTTCCTTGTGATTCTCGCAGTGGACAGGGATGAGTCCTCTAAGCATAATTTGTAACGGACACGTACTTTGTTTTCTGTGAGGTAGGAACTGAGTTCCCAACTATCATTCAAGTGAATTTCAGGCTTCAGAAGATTAAATAAATTTATTTAAGAAGCGAAAGGAATTGTTCGACCGTTTTATATAAATTGAATTTTTGTTTGAAAACATGGCGTATACAGTTCGTTCTTGTGGACGGGACTCGAAGTCTTGTTACCGTGTTCACAGGCGCTGAATAGAAATTAATCCGCCTTGTACACACAGCGCCACGTCGGTGGAGCTGCGCCAGTGTGCACATATGCACACATCCTCACAGCGTGAATGTTGCCATGTAACCGAGCTGTCCACAACGTGCGCTGTCAGTGGTAAGCAGTGGTACCACACACACTAAGAGCTCTCAATTACGAGTACAGCATTGTAATGGGCAAAATGTCACACCCTTTTTTCCTTTTCTTTAGTCAATTTAAGTTTTTTTTTCAGAGCTGCGAACCACAAACTGTCAGTCTGCCTTTCAGGAATAATGAATAATTAGTGGATCATTAATTTTAATAATCCCTCTTTCGGTGTTGCTTCTGTGCACCTGTTACATAGCCCCGAAGCATGGCGTCTCTTGGAGCGACGCAGTCGGGAAGTTACTGCGTCTACTTGCTGAACCGTGTATCCGGAGTGGACATAGCTCTCTGACTGCGGCACAGAACGTTGTGGAATTCAGATGCCATGTGAGGCTTCCATCGCGGGCTGTCATTCGCGCAGGCTGCGTATTGTCGAGCGGTAAGGCGACAGACTAATGAGGGACTGGAAAACATTTGGAAGGAGGCAGTGGTGGAGCTATATGCTGTGTGAGGTCTTCCGTGGTTTTCCTTAGACACTGTAGGAAAATAATGAGATAAAGTCCACGATAGCTTCCATCCGAATATTTTACAACGCTGTCTAGCTACCATATGACGCTGAAAGCGTCGAAAAATGACCCACAAAGGAATTATGGTCTAAATTCATATTGGAATTACACATTGGGCTTCACACTGTTGTGCATGAATTCGTGCATGTTCATTGCGAAATAACAGTAATTTACATAAAGTCATTACTGTTTTTCTTTCCAGTTCTAGGAATGTGTAGTATAAGCGATCTTTAGCTGAGTTCATGTTGAAGATATTCATTAAGCTTCTTATCCCCAGGTATGATTTCGGCCATATTCGTTCATAATTAAAAGTATATTTGTTGAACGTTTATTTCTGTCTTAGCAGCGTGTAGTTGAACCGATCGCGATCAACATTCTTATTGCATATACTGTTTTTTCATCAAGATTTTGTGGAATCGTGGTACAGTTTCATTATCATCATCACTGGCACGACAGCCCTTTGTGAGCCCTGGCCTTCCTCAGGATTGCTCGCCATTCTTCTCCATTCGATGCTACATTCCTCCAGTTCTTTCCATCCAAAATTCTTATGTCCTGCCACACACATTCTTCCCGTCTCAATCTTGGTCTTCCCACTTTCCCATTTCCTTCTGGTTTAGTGTTAAGCATTTTCTTGATGGTTCTATTCTCGCCGGCACGTATTGTGTGTCCAGCCCATTCAAGCCTTTTCACCTTTATAAATCCAATAATGTCTGTTCATTAAACAGTTTGTATAGCTCATGGTTATACCTCTTCCTCCATATTCCATTTTCTTCCACTGGTCCAAAGATATTATTATTATTATTATTATTCCATTTATCCATATCTTAACTACTAGCTGATGTAAGTGCTTAGCATATTCTGGGCCTGCAAATTTCACTAATTCTGCCGTGATGAGATCCATTCCTGGAGCTTTATTATTTTTCAATTTTTTGATAGTTTGTTCTACTTCTTTTATGGTCGGCGCTGACTCTTCAGCCTCAAAATTTCCTTGAGTCAGGTCTATGGTCATACCTTCCACTTGTTCAGAGGCGTTACTATTTAATAATTCCTCAAAATATTGCGCCCATCTTTCCAATACTGCTTCATAGCTACTCAGTATTGTGCCTTCTTTATCTCTACATAAGGTTGTTCTAGGCTGAAAGTCCTTTCGACTCTTGTTTAGTTTTTGATAAAATGCTCTAATTTCGTTTAAACTTCTTAAATGCTCCAGTTCAAGCAGTTCTTGTTTATCATATTCCCTTTCTTCTTTTTATGCAATCTTTTTTCTATTCTTCTCGCTTCACGGTATTCTTCCACGCCCCCTCGAGTATGGTTCCTTTGCTGCATTCTCTTATATACCTGTTTTTTTTTTACTTGTCACGTGCTCACACTCTCCATCAAACCAATTCTTATAATTTATCCTTTCCATTCTTCCTAAGACTGCACCATCAGCATTTATAATAACATTTCTGAGGTCCCCCCAGGCTTCACTGACATCCTCACTATCAGAGAGACCTGCTAGGCATTCACCAATTAATCCAGTATATCTGGTTGCAACTCCTTGTTCAACCAATTTTACACAATTCAATTTCTTAGCCTGGGATCCATGTATCTTCCTTGCATTAGATATTCGACTTCTAATCTTTGATATTATTAAGTAATGATCAGAGTCAATGTTGGCCCCCCTGTAGCTTCTGACATCCATCAAGTCTGAACAATGTCTTACATCTATTAGGATGTGATCGGTTTGGTTAAACACATTTCCATCAGGGGATATCCAGGTTCATTTATGTATATCCTTATGATTAAACATTGTACTACCTACTACCATGTTTCTTGAGGAAGCAAAATTTATTAATCTCATCCCATTATCATTTGACTTGTTATGTAGGCTATGTTTTCCAATAACTGATCTATATACATCCTCAGTCCCCACTTTAGTATTCAGGTCCCCTGTGATTATCTTACAGTCCCCTTTTGGACATTCGCCATACATTTCATCCAATTCATCATAAAAGGAGTCTTTCTTCTCATCACTTTTATCTTCAGTCGGGGCATGCACACAAATAAGGCTACAGTTAAAAAACTTTCCCTTAATTCGTAGCCTACATGTTCTGTGAGATTTTGCCTGGAAGTCTAAAATAAGATGCTTCCTTTTTTATTAACAATAAAACCTGTTCCAAACATGTGACTCTTCTTGTGAAGCTATAGGGTACAATATGATCCCTCTTTTCCATGACTCCTTTACCCAACCACCTCAGTTCTTGTATAGCAGTGATATCTAGTTTACAACTATCCAGTTGTTCAAGTAGCATTTTTAGTGCTCCGGCTCTGTAAAGAGATAATACATTCCAAGATTCAATTCCCGAATCCTTTAAACATTTTCCAGGTTGTCCTGAATAGGTCCGTCCGGTTACTCTTTCCTCGGATTTCTGAACAATTTAGTTTTTACGGTGTGAGGTTGTTGGCCTCATGCCCAACCCCCAACCTGGAGGACCAGGGTATTCCTCCCTGTCTGGCTCCTACCCCTTGATCTATCTGGCATGGGTGGCCCTACCAGTAACTACGCTACCACCGGCATAGCTCTCAGGGTCTCAGGAGCTCTCAAATCCCACCACCACGATAAGGTGGAGATACCATTGGTGGGGGTGGTACAATTTCACCCCTATCAGGCAGTAATGTGATAAATTAATGGAGACCTCGTATTCTGTTATGCTCAATCGGAGGCATTGCGTTTGATCTCACATTGTTAATCCAGCAGTTCTGGTTTTCATTTTGTTTTACATTTCTTGCATTACTTTCGTGAATAAAATACACGTCTGCTTTTGGTACTTCACTCTGAGAATGTTTGTGGTCATCTGTAGCCTTCGAATTTGGCGCCGTCACTGTCATCTGTTTTTATTTTTCCATAATTTTTTGCAACTTGCAACCCGAAAAAATTGTAATGTAAATAAATGACAATTTTCTTCTGTATTATTTTCATTTAAACGTTTTCGCAATAGTTTAATTAATAGATTTAATAACGTGCACATGACTATTGTTAGAATTATCATGGCTGTCAGTTATGTAGTGATGTATAATGTGCAAAACTATTGTTAATTTATGTGCAGAACATGGTACAATATTTATAAGCTTCTTTCTAACGAATTGTATGATGCTTACAGTATATTTTATGATTATCTTGTGACTGGCAGATATGTACTGAGATGACACACCGAAATTCTAACCTCTCTGATTATGCGGTTCAGTAACTATTTTAATTTTTACGTTTTCAAATTGACAGTAAGCCCATGTGCTTTCAGAGGATGTATTAGGAAGTTTTAGCCTGTGACATCATTTGCAGTGTACTTCGGTTATATACGAAAACAAGATATTTTCCAAAATTAATTTGTAGGCCAATCATTAATGAATAAAGGGGACAGTAGGGAAAATCTCCCATTTGATTTTACACATGCATGGTATTTTAATATAGTGCAAAACATTATTATAATTACGATCCCCTGGGATGTACCACCATATAGTTTTTTTTTGTATAAATACAAACATTTTGGAGGCACTAGCTAACTCCATCTACACCTTGAAGATTAATCGAGCAAATTCCTCTGAATTGTTGGTATGTACCTGCCAGATTATACTGTGTCACATCCCAGAGAAATGTAACGTTGATATTCACTGCTGTATCTGAATGTTACAAATTCGTGGGGACGTTCTTTCCATATGAGCAAAATGATATTTACCTCTGAACTTATCCATGTCCACTGACATCGTTGTTGTTGTTATTATGTTTATATGCCATGGAATTACCACTCATTTATTGTTTCTCAATGTAAGGTGTTCCCTCTAGAGTTCAGATCTAGTACTTACTCCCCGAAGAACATGAATGCGGGATTCACTGCATTGTCTTTCTGTGCTAGGCTGTCAGTAAGGAAATAAGCAGTGCTGCCACAGTCACTACCCATAAGTTGCATGGAATCTTCCATATAAATGCAGAAGACAACTGTTAAAAGTGATTATTTTTAAATAGATCATCTGTGACAGCCAGAATGATGTGGCAAGGTTTACGTGACAGCAGTAAAAGTGTGACAGGTTGTGATACACAGCAGCATGCATGCAGGAAGCCAGTTCAGAAAAGAGCAAAGCTTAGCAACATGTTAGATGCTGATGACATTCTGCAGTCTTCATATAATGGCATCAGAACACCTGTCTGTGGGTTTGACAGGCTAAGAAACAGTTTCTATGATGTGCCTTGTGAAGATCTGGCCAAGAGACTCCTGGGTAAAGTCCTTGTGAGAAGATTAAATGATGGAACATTTATTAAAGGCCGCATTGTGGAAACGGAATGTTACCTTGGAGGTGAAGACAAAGCTTCTCATTCATATAATGGACGGATCACAGAAAGGAGTAAACCTATGTACATGAAGCCAGGGACAATCTATGTGTATATAACATATGGCATGTATCACTGCTTCAACATATCTAGTAAAGGTTCGTGCAAATCTTTGTCATAATGCACTTAGTTCATACATTGTGTCCAAGTTTTGTTATGAAGGAGGAGGTTAGTTTTTTAATTAACTAAATGCCTTGGTATCACAAGTGGTGCAGTCACTGTTTGCCTGTCTGTTACACAGTTCTATATACTGGTAACTACTTTATAACTAGGGTAAAACCTATTCAAATTTCAACATGAGATTGTTGCATTTGTCAACATTGTTTGGTCACACTGTCCATATTTCACTGTGGTCCATTCTCACACATACAGTCCTTGAGGGGGCATTTTGAAATCAGTTTCACTGAATTCACAAGCAAAAAAAAGTTCTGGAAAGACAAATTTATTATACTAAGGTACTGAACTCGAGAGAATAGTGGCAGTATTCACAAAAACCGATATAAGCAAGGGTTTAGGAGTTGAATGCTATGACATGGACAGACATGTAGAGAAATACGCACATTATACTCATGAGGTGTTTATATAAAGATAATTTCATTCCATTAGATGCGTTTCAGGTGCAGGGGCAGCTGTTCTGTTGCGGGCACTGGAACCCCTGGAAGGACTGGAATGCATGCAGCTGCAGAGACAGAAAGGAAGAAAGTCTCCGTCATCACAGAAAGAGCTGAGAGCCCAAGACTTGTGTAATGGTCCAGCGAAACTGTGCACGAGTTTCAGTATTACTAAATCATCTTGTAACGAACAGGACTTGACGACATGGGATGGAATGTGGATACAGGAAGATGAGTCATCTGATCCATGTGATATTGTGACATCACACCGAATCGGGATTGATTCAGTTGGTAGTGAATGGGCATCCAAACCTTTGCGTTTCTATCTGCTGGGAAATTCATCGGTCAGTCGCAGAGACAGAGGGAGGGAGAAAGAGCTTCAGGAAATGGTGAGACATTCCTACTAAAGACAGACTTAAGTTAAGGTGTAATATTCACCAATTTTGTCTGTCCTTCAGTACATTTTCACATTAAGGGAGCTGTAAGTGAAGCTACTTCGTGATGTAGATGTCTGCTGTGTTGCTACTGCCAGTCTTTAATAAATATCTAAGAAGAAATCAAAAAGAAAGTTTTCATGACAAGTTTACATTGATTTTTATATTAACTGAAAAAATAAAATACTATAAAAATAAGTGAATAATTATGTACATTATTTTCACACACAAACATCATGTACACAACTAATATATAACATTGACACACAGTTACTTAATTATAAAATATGAGGCAGGCATTTCACTTGTGTTTTAATGCTAGTGGGGTGGGACTAAGTCCCTTGTACTGCGGCCACTTCTGGCCTATTGTACCAGCCCCAGATGATAGGTAAGGGTGATTGTAGAGTAATTGGTGGAATGAAGATTGGCAGGGGAAACCGAAGTACTTGGAGAAAACCTGCTCCAGAGCCACTTTGTCCACCACAAGGTCCACTTAACCAGACCCAGGATCGAACCTGGGCCACCACGGTGGGAAGCCAGTGACTGTCTGCTTGAGCTATGGCGGGGCCACCAGCATTTCACTTGCTCACATAATTACCAATGACATTTTTGTTGTGCTTGTAGCTGATCTCAAGTGCACAGAGCAAATTCCAATACTGAAACTGACAGTGTGGTTTTCATCTCACCCTTGATTCCTGTGTGGATGGGATAAGGCTGTTGTGGTGTTTCAAGAATTCATTCGACTGTAAACCTTGAAATCATTTAACAGCTGTTTGAGATGTGATCCACCCAGGCAGAAGGAAATCGTGTTATTCATGTTATTGGACAGTTAATCATCAGATGACACTGCACCACATCAAGGTTTTCATAATGTATTGGTAATAATTTTGTTTGCCGTTATGAATCGTATACTGACTGTATCAGTATTGGTCATGAGCAACTACATGATGTGATAAAATAATTTCTGGATTGTCTGGGGCTGTCTGAGAAAGATCTTCATGTTCTGAAGAAGACACATTTAAAACCCAACAAAATAACATTGCAGACAGCAATACTGAATAGCAAAACATGTACATTTCATTTTGTTATGCAATACAGTGTGCATGTCATGCGGCACTGTTTGCCATGTCAGTGTGAACTGTACATGACACCAAAGAAATAAATAAATAAATAAAGAAAGAAAGAAAAAAAAAAGCAACAGGCAATCATCAAAAATTTCTTACCATAAAACTTTCAGTTTGTCAAAGAACTTCTCTTGCTAAACAGGAAACAATGGAAATGTTGAAGAGAAAACTGATAAGCTCTATGTCAAAATTCCTCTAAATAAGTTTTTCCCTGGTTCAGTGTCCAAGTACACTGCTCTTAAGAGAAGCTTTAAGTGGGGGGTTTGCTGTAACAAAATGTGAAATGTAAATTTATTTTTCATCAAAATTCTTTGATGATCAAATTCAAGATATAACATATACTTGAAATTGTACAGTCTTCTAATGTGGTAAATAGGTACCTCCAAAACATTGATACAAATGCTGTGTGAGCTGGAAGATGACCTCACCTTACTTAACACAACTGACTCACGTCACACAAGTATCTAAGAGTATTTCAAAGAAGATTGATCAGTATCATTAACATAAATGCTAGCGATAAGCAATATTTAATAAGGTTAATCAACTCCTTGAATAATCATCACATTTACACCGACAAGCAATTTCTTTAAAAATGAATATATGCTACCTAAACAAGCATCATAAAATTACACTAATGTCTGAAAGTTTCGACTTTGAACACAGATTTTTATGACACTTATTAATGGGATTTTATATATCAAATTTGTGGGTACATTTAATTTTGATTTGTTTCGATCGTACATAACTTCACTTTTACACGAGACTCAATTACAGTGCTATATAAGGTTTGTTAATACTGCTTTGATGTGGTTGAAGAAGTGTACAGTATCTGTACTGCTCATTGCCTCTGGAACAGTAAATAGATTTGGACTGGTGACTGGGAGAGGCTTCTCCTAACAAAGCCCTAAATTAAGTTCCCACACTTCCCTGCAAATGGAAGAGCAACCAGTTTCCGAAGTGTTGGATTTTGAGTATGAAACCTAGATGATTAATGTGCAGTTAACATCATCTCCAGCAGACACATAACATTATCAATGGCATACATAAAATTGTGAAGAATGTGTCTTGAGGAATATGTATACTCCAAAAGTGTAAAATATTTCCACCTCCTTTTTTTAAAAGTTTGGGTACTGTTAGGAACACTATTCATAAAATTCTACATATGGATCTTTCACACCAGTCTGTTAATTATCCCACTTTTCTGATAGGATGAAAAATGTACTAACAATGCTGACATTGCAGTTGAAAAGGAAAGTGATTCGATCCCTCTTGTATTACACCTAGTATCAAAACTTATGAAAATAAAATTATATATTTGAAAGACCAGCTAAATCTTACATGAAAACTGAATGTGCGGCTGGCTATTGAGTATGACTTTGCTGATCATATGTCAGTGGCAGACAAGGAGCTGCCATCAGTGGGACTTAATCGTCTATGTACATTAAAGCAGACTGTTTCAACAAGAAACATACCAAACTACACCTCAGAACCATATCATTGTCTTGCAATATCACATCTTCTATTATGGGTCTGCCTGTGTTTGATGAGATTCCCGATACATGAGAAGGTGGAGCCACAAGCTTCACACATGTAAGGGCGTATCCCTGTATGAAGAGTGTTATGTGTAACGAGGCTTTCCCTGTGAGCAAAAGCTTTATTACACACTTTACAAACAAACGGTTTTTCTCCCGTGTGAGACCTTTCATGTCTCTGCATCTCCACTTTGAGACGGAAGTTCTTACCACAGAAACGACAGAGGAATGTTTTCTCACCCGTGTGGAGTAGCGAGTGGGTACCAAGAGAACCACCGCTCATAAATGCTTTGCCACAGACGCTACACACATGTCTTGGTTCTGACCCACACCGACTGTCCACGTGAACTTTGAGGTTCCCTTTCTGTTTGAACAGCTTGCCACAAATATTACATGCATAAGATTTTGCCTCATGACCAAGATGTTTATTATTATAATGATTTTTTAGATTACTTGAGTTTGAGAAAGAGCGGTGACATTCTGAACAGCTCCACTGCTTTCCATGTTGCTTTGCACGATGAGATCGATATTCTTGTTTTGAATTGAAACCATCATCACACTGTTTGCACTTAAAGGCGCCAGTGCCTGTGTGTTGCGATTCGTGTTTTATTAAACAGGCTCTGTGTGTATACTTTTTACCACAGTGACGGCATGGAGTTGCTTCTTTTTCGTCTGATGAATGACATTTCCTGTGGCGATTTAATTGTGACACAAATTCAAAATATTTATTGCAATACTGACAGAGAAACTTTCTTGGCACTGGTTCTGAATGAAGAATTTCCACTTTCTTTAAATGACGTTCCAAGCGTCTATCTAATGGCTCATCGTCCTCTGAGGCAGGACCTGTTTTCTGACAAATGACTGTGTCTATTTCATTACTGCTATCACAATGAGACTGTGTATGTTCAGTTAACAACTGTTCTTGAGCAAAACCCAAACCACATAGAACACATGAAAACTGATCTTCATGATCACTTGTAGTTTTAGAAATTGAAGTTGGTTTTGATTCTTCACTTTTAATATCACATCTTGCAGGATATTTTTGTTTCCGTTCACGAGGCATCTTCTTGAATGAAACGACTACTTCAGATTCAAATACTGGTTTTACATCATCATATTCACTTTTACCCATATGTACCTCACTTTCTTTTCTTATAGTATTATTACAATCTACTTGTACTTTCGAAGCAAAGATACCTATTTCTTCATGCTCTGATAATTCACTGTCTGAATTGTTTGTAGCAGGTGATGCAGCAGTTGATAGTTCATCTGTTTCATGAACTGCATCACAGAGATCATTACTGTGTTTATTATTATACGCATCTTCAGATTTCATGTTCCCAACCAAGTTTTCTCCTGTGGTGTGATTGGCCACAAAATCATCACTTTCAGTGGGTATGTAATCACATACACTGCGGTTCTCCAATCCATTGATCAAAGCAGCTGTTTTTGAAGCAGGACTGTCAGAGCCAGAATCTGGCTCCCTTTGAGTGGTTACTGTACTCTGAGTAACATGATCTAGTGATTTAAAGTTACTCTGTTGGTAAGGGTCAACTGCCATCTTTTGACCATAGGAACACTTTTCATTACCTGCATTCTGAACTCTGTGGTCATGAGGATGTTTCTCTATACCGTAACTTTGAAGCCTATGATTGTCTAACTTCTGGAAGAAGTTACCAACTGTATGTTTTTCGTTGTTACTAACGAGTAACCCATCAGTAGAGCAAGGATATGGAAGACTTCTTGTTGAGTCCTTACAAATTGCACTGCATATTCCAAATGGCTGGACGGCATCAGGATGCAGCCCGCTACCCCAATAATATTGAGTACTATAACAGAAAACATGAAATACTACTATCAGTTTATTCTGTCTGAACAGTCATGATGATGGTGGTACATTATTATATTTCGGATTGCTGAGTTTCTAGACTTTGTCTTTGTCTAGTATTCTGAAACTGAATCCAAGTAGGTGCCTTCCCACGTTTTCACATCAGAAATATTTTCTTTCAGAATACCAGACAACGAAGTCCATACACTCAGCAATCCCAAGTGTTATTATTACTTATTAATTCTTTCTGCCAGTATATACCAACTTTTATTCAGAATAATTACCCGTTTCAGGGGCTCTGTGCCATAACAAGATCACTATGATGTTACGATGGAGGGATGAACATATGTTCTAAGTGTTGAATCCATCCAATTCTTCATTTAAAATAAAAACACATGCATTCATAAAATGTTATTCATACAAACTGTTATGCTAACTTTTCATAAACATGGATAAAAAAGAATTCAAACATCTGAATGAAATAAGATGTAATGGTATGTGGTAACTAGAGTTATGCATTTACAGGCAAATAAAAATAATATTTATAAGTTGTGATGACAGTAAAGATTTCTGTGATCATTAATTTCACTTATGTCACAATGTGGATATTTTTCTGTGATTGGATCAATGAAATGAAAATAAATGTAAATGTAAATTTGTTCATTCAAAGCATTTTCCACTGTATGCATTTCCAGGAATGCAAGCCCTCTATATAACGAGACTAACCTGAACTATATTAATGAGTCTTATTGTAAGAAGAAGACTGTACCTTTTAGCATTTTGTTCCATACTACTAAGGTGAAGATCAGCAATTGAATGTAACCTATCATTTGTTACTGCAGTTTGCTCAGTTATTTCATGATCCCTACTACTGAAGACAGGTGAGGTCCAGTCATGATTCCCATCATAATTTGAATTTCTGTAGCTGTAAGAACCACCCAGGACGACAGAAGCCTCTTCGTTGTTATTAGGTATCCGTCCTTCTGACATTACATGATTCATTAACTGTTCGACAGATGGACTTGTTTTTGGAAGATTCTTTACACACACTTTTAAGTGATTAGCAGTTGATTTTACCCTTGCTTTACTGGATGTCACGACAGGAGTGACTAGAGCACATCTGTTACGGTGAGTTTTTCTGTGTTTGATGAGATTCCCGATACATGAGAAGGTGGAGCCACAAGCTTCACACATGTAAGGGCGTATCCCTGTATGAAGAGTGTTATGTGTAACGAGGCTTTCCCTGTGAGCAAAAGCTTTATTACACACTTTACAAACAAACGGTTTTTCTCCCGTGTGAGACCTTTCATGTCTCTGCATCTCCACTTTGAGACGGAAGTTCTTACCACAGAAACGACAGAGGAATGTTTTCTCACCCGTGTGGAGCAACGAATGTGTAACAAGTGTTCCACGTGTCATAAAAGCCTTCCCACAAACATTACACACGTGCTGTGGGTCTGTACCGCATCGACTCTCTACGTGAACCTTGAGATTTACTTTCAGTCTGAATTCTTTACCACACACACTACAAACAAACACTTCTGTCTCCTTGCTTTCATGCCACTGCACATGGGAATCCAGCTTCTGTTTGGTGGCAAACATGTGACTGCATGTTGGACATTTCCAAGGTTTCTCATGTTTCTCATTACGGTGTTTTGTCCGCTCAGTTGTGGTACTAAACACTTTGCCGCAAGGACGACAGCGGAAACTTCCCTTCCCCTCATGCTGAAGCTCGTGTTTTGTTAAGCTGCCAGTTTTACTATACTTCTTCCCACAAGTATGACAAGATAACGACTTTCTCATTTTAGATTTGGGCTTGTGGCTTTCCACATGGTGAAGCAGCAATGAATTAAATCTAAATTCCTTTCTACATATGTGACATGAGAGCAATTTCTTTTCTTTTCTCTTGTGGATATTTTGATGTTGTATGTAACCTGCTTTATGCTTACAATCCATGCCACAAGTCTCACAAAAATATGGAACTTTCTCAAAGCCTCCATATCTCTGCACTTCCTTCTTTTGTTCTGATTTTTTGTCTAATGCCTCACTCATTCTTCTACTGATGTTGGTAGTGTGCAGTTTCATGTGACGTCGCAGCGACTGCTTCTGAGTAAAGAATCTGTTGCAACATGTGCAACAGTAGTGAGCTTGTTCTAAATTCAAATGGTGTTTGTTCTTGCTTTTCTTGCCATGTGTTGGTTGCACTGATGTTGCAGGTGTAGCCAAATGCTGACACATTCCCCGCGGTTTATTTTTACTTCTCTGATGACTGTCTTCCAGCATGCTGTAATGCACATCCTCACGCATGGTACAGACATCTTTGATGGCAGATGACACACTTTCACAGGCTGAAATTTCATCTGTATTTTCATTATACGTAACAGTTAAAAACCGTGTGGGACTGAAATCTGTATTGTCTGTATCATCATCTTCTCCAACACCCTTCTTCTGTTTTCTGCCATTACTGTGGACTGATGTCATGTTCTAAATGGGCCCCATCAGAGCCCCTTTCGTGTTTTACATTACTCCATTCTTTTCACCATATTACAGATGGATAGGAAAATTCAGATTGGCGGTACTGGGCTGAAAGATAAAAAATAACAATTTAAATAAACAGATTCCATGCATGTGGAAGAAATACCTTGAAAAATATCACATCTTTTTTCCCACATTTAACAAAGTGGAACTAGTAATTTTAAGTATACCCTGGTGTGTAAAATGTACTAAAACACAGTGAGTGCAGGATAGGAAACTAAATGTCATGGAAAAGGTCAAACAGATCCAATAATTGAAGATATATGTTACTGACATATAGTCTTTATACAACATCACTATTTAATTCCAGATTTGAATTATATTATCGTTACAATATATACAGAAGTTTTAAGTGAAATATAATTTTATAGTTATTTTTGTTTAGAAAAAACATACTACAGCTCATCTTGCTTTTATTCTCTCTACCACTGGTCAGAATATTGTTTTCACAGAATGTGAAACAAAGAGTTGTCACAACTGTAATATTACTGGAAATTAAACTGTTTCAACAAAAACAAAACACGCAAATAACTAAGCAAGCAACCGGTACAAACTGTTTAAAACAGGGGGACATTTTAACTCCTTACACTTTTTACACTTCACCTTTTCTTTGAAAGACATCATTACGAGACTTTAAAAGAATTACAAGGATCTGAAACTCATATGTAACATATCAGCTACAATATATTTGGCTAAAACCTAAATAGTGTAAAGAAAGATATGAAAACTCCCTTAAGAGCCAGTAAAGTTATCAGTCTAGAAATTGCCAAATAAAAGATTAAGAGTACACTCCCATAATACAAAATTATAAAACAAGAACTGTGAATAAATCCTTACATAAAATATTGCAGTCCTATTAAATTCATTAATACAGTCTACAATCAAACATGAAAGTATAAATCTTCTGTACAAAAATAAATATATTTTTTTTAGTATTGTAACATTCTTGTATCATAATTTGTAGGTTATGTTAAAACACAGGCCTGAAGAGAATATGTATACACATCTTTAATATCATAACCACATAAATGAAGAATCTAGTCGTGAAAATGTAAAGTTCATTTAACTGTATGTAGTTCTTGAATTACGTCAATTACCTGCAAAGTTTTGGAGCTTGTTTAGCTTTGTGTTGCGAGCTTTCTGAATTTTTCTGCACATTATGAAGTAATGGCATTTTACATGCCAAAAGCTATTCCTTATTTATTCAATTAAAGTAATTACATACATCTTGAACACAGATTAATAATATTTTACGTCTAGATTTCGTCTTGTACTAAAATAAAAAATCAATTTCATGTAAACAATGCACCTCGTGCTTCCTGGGCCATCTTTAGAGCTATTTAGTTACTACCCCAATGTCTGTCAGTGGTGTCTTCGGCTTCATTGACAATTCAGCATAATTTTGAAAAATATAAATGGAAGTATAAGGTAGTAAAGAAGATTTTTTTTATATTTGTGTATACGACTTCATTGGGATGTTTTACAAATAATCGTACCTTCCAAGTACCTTTGTGTTAGCCGTACTGGACTCAGATCACAAAGGTGTCAGATTAATTTATACAGTGTATATAACCTATAGGCATGATGTGACTAGTCAAGATAAATGCATTGTATGTCGTGCCGGTAATTCTCTATTAGCCAAGCTGCAGAGGATCTCATCGTTCAAGCAGCTTTTTTGTTGAATTCCATAATCAAACCTGGCTTTCACATTTAACAGCATGCAATAAGGTGTGTTTCATAACCTATCACTGAATGAACCCAAGTTTAGTAATCAGGCACTGTATGTAACAAATATTACTAGAACAGGATTTCTTAGGATTTGCATTGTTTTGTCATTTATGCTAACAATATGTGTTTATTATCTTATTGATGCCTGGGCAATTTGGTGCTATGGAATGACAACAAACCAATTTTGGTTTTTATAGTAAGGTGGGGGGTGGGGGAGTGGAGGTGACAAGCTGTGGGGGCCAATAGGGTTATGAGACGTTGAGGCTCCCACATTTTCTAGGCAGTTGGATCACAGATTGGCGGTTAGGTTGTCAGCTGTACGCACTGGTCATCCTTTACGCCCCAGGAGGATTCCTGGTACTCATTTCTGTTAGAGGCTGTGTCAACCCCAGGGCCATAGTGCGGCTGGAAGGATTAGGTCAATTGAAAAATCCCATGACCTTCTCAGGACTCAAACCCGTGACCTTCCAGCTTGTAGCACAGTGCCTCAGCCAACTTTGCTTCCACATGTCTCCTTGTTTTTATAGCGCTGGCAGAATTTATTTTCTCTTTTCTAGGTACCATGACTTTGTGTGAGAAGATGTATCCATCAAATCACAAAACAGTGTTTGTTTTGGATCACACTCCATACTTTGGCATATCATGTGAATGTCTCATTGAATTTGATTTTACCAAATCCCGGGGTCCAGCATTCATACCTCTAGCACCTATTTCGAAGTCCCTTTGGACATGCAGTGTTGAAGCAGCCATAGAGTATTGCCGGATTGTTTGGGATTTGTTTCCACAAGGAAAACTGGTAAGAGACTGATATGAGATGTTCTTAATGCATAAACTTTTATATAAGGCTCAGTTTTATAATTAATTGGTGTTTGCTTTACGTTGTGTAACAGTACAATACACCAGAATTGGTCTGTATAAATAAGGGCATCACAGACATAACTACCAGAAAGTGGGGCCATCATTAAAGGGTCAAAGTCCCCAGTAGAGGTACAGGATGTGAAGGATTTTGAAATATAAAGGTTAATAGAATTAGAAACACTGAAATTGCATATAAGTTTCATGTAAGAAGATGGAATTTTAATTTAGGGGAACTGAAATAAATGTTATTTCTTTTAACGTTAATAATATTACATGTACTAACAGCTTCAGATGGCATTCAGAGAATTTAAACCTATGCAGCTGAATGATGAAATATGAAATCACCATTAAAATCATTATTGATAGAAGAAACATTTATGAAGAAAGCAGTCTTCTCGGATTTGGCACCGTGTATATGTGGTGTTAACCGACGTTTCGGAGGAACGTATCGCCTGCATCTTCAGGGTAGAAGAAAAAGTATAAGAAATCTGCAAGCGACAAGACCGTGAGAACGGTAAAAGCAGACTTCTACCCTGAAGATGGAGGCGATACGTTCCTCCGAAACGTCGGTTAACACCACATATACACGGTGCCAAATCCGAGAAGACTGCTTTCTTCATAGTCACCGCCGTGAAAGCCTCAAATCTTACAAACATTTATGTGTTTAAAACTTAAATTAAAAATGAAAGTGGGAAGTCCCATCTGGGTTCAGATGCAGTGAGCTAGGAGGGCTTTGTTTAGAGAAGTGTGTTCTTCTTGTGGACAATGGAATCTTTTTAACTTTTTGTAAGGTAGAACAGAGATGGCCAATTTCTCAATGCCAGAGGATGAGAAGAGTTATAATCTCCTGGGATGCGATTCCACATACTCCAGTATAGCAGTGTCACCTCTCAGAAGACAGTACTGTTCATAGTCATCGCTGTGATAACCTCAAATCCAGCACAGGGAATACTGTTGTGATGAGGACACTTACAATATATGAAGCAGTTGGAATGCCTTGTTAATCAAAAGTTCTTCATTCCTTCAGTTTAAGTGTGGTTGCCATTTCCATGTTATATGTATGCACAGGTGTGGCTAGTTGATTGGAGGGGAATGTAGGTGAGTGTGCTGAGAAAGGGGAGCATGAGAGCTCTAGAGAGATGAGGAGGGGTCAGTCCATGCTTCTCAGTATTAAACATTTTTTTAATTGCTAGTGGGGTGGGACTAAGTCCCTTGTACTGCGGCCACTTCTGGCCTATTGTACCAGCCCCAAATGATAGGTGAGGGTGATTGTGGAGCGATTGGTGGAATGAAGATTGGCAGGGGAAACCGAAGTACTCAGAGAAAACCTGCCCCAGCGCCACTTTGTCCACCACAAATCCCACTTGACCAGACCCGGGATCGAACCCGGGCTGCCGCGGTGAGAAGCTGGCGACTAACTGCTTGAGCTATGGTGTGTTCTATGCCTCTCAGTATAGTTAAGAATCCTATTTTAGATATTTATGTAAGTCTTTCATTTGTCATGTAGATTCGGTTTGTCGTAAGTGACACAACAGCACACACCTTAAACACATGGAGTCCATCTGAGCAGAATTTAAGCCATGTAAGTTGTTCCAAGCTTTATGTATTAAACAATCTTCATACTGTTACTTTCTTTGAAAATTTTCCATTTGTTCTAAAATCATATTGGCCCATTTCCAAAAATGAAACTGTTGAATTTGGCAGATGAACAGCTGGAGGATTGTGCTTTGAAATCTGTTGTTACATTGCACAGTATCCATGAGACTTGCTGTTAGATTAATATAAAAGATTATCAAGTCCGTCCAGTGTGATTGATAAATGTTTTTTCTCCTTTTTAATCTTTCATCCTTGACGTATATCAGCCCGAGCAACCATCTTCAGGATGACATATCAATACTTGCGGAAACTACCATCACAATGTGATTGATCATTAACAATACATATATACAATACCATTACAGTGTCATGAATATACAATCTTAGCCTTTAACAACTACAACATTAGGCCTGAATGTATTAATATACTTATAAATTATTGTAATTGATTTATTTACAAGTGTGTTTTAAAAACTTTGTTAAAATCTGGAACCAATTTGATTTATGTCCTTTATGCTGCCTCTCTTTAAAGGAAGATGTGTGTCTACCATGTTATGGTTCTGTTGTTTGATGAGTAGGACTCGTCAGTGTCATCCAGTTGTTGAGGCTCCGCTGTGTTGTCAAACACATCTGTCAGTCACACTGGACAGAATCGATAATCTTTTATATTATTGCTAGTGTGATGGACCAGGATGAACCAAATCAAATTTATGCTGTTAAATTTGTTGTGTGGGAACATTTTAAATAGTCTTCAGGGCAGAAACATATCTGTCCTATTCTGACTTTAAATCACTATTTTGTTTTACTGCATTCTCTCTGTCTTGTGTAATGATACACTGTACATATATTTGGTGACTCCTAGTGATATCCATGTTTCATAGATTATTTTTTCCTTTGGATAATTTATTTTGTTCTTTATAATAAATACTGGTATGTCCAGCTCACTCATATCATATTTTTAAAATGTACATAAATTATGATAGGCATAAAGTGTGTTATCTTCAGGATGAACACATTGACTCCATCTTCAGGGTTATAGAATAAGCCAAACAAGTAGCAAGAACTCTTTCAGATAATTAAACAAGAATATTTATGCTTACACTTACAGTTACATTTAATTTTTTTATCATTTCATGCATCCAATCATCTCCCCGTAGGGCTGGATATAAAACATGTCACATATTACAAATTCATGATGACTACACATCATTCATACTTGGTCCAATAAAATATAAAATCAAGCCTGAGACAGAATAGCTCAAGTTGTCAGGACAACACACATACAAGTAGGTCATGGAAAAGCCACAATCAGATTCGCACCTTGCCATTCCACACACTCTGGCAAGCCATATCGTTAAAACAGTTGCATTATAAAAAAAGTATTAAAATTCATAACAAAAAACAGACATCAGACATACATACTGTACTACTACACTTACAACGAACAAGTCTCAACAGTATGTAATTCACGCACACAGACCATTTATTAACTCTTAACTTTTGAGCCACTTACATGCTCAACAAACTCATCAGTTGAGTAAAATGTGTTACTTTGCAAATAATTTCGTAAAACAAACCTAAATTGCTTTTTATCGTTTTTTAAAACTGTGATATTTGACGGCAGAATATCATATAGCTTGATGCCTGAATAATACACCCCTCTCTGATAGGATGATAGATGTGTTGAAGGTGGTCATTCCTTCTGGTACCAATGACATAGACAGAGTTACTGGTTTGAAACTTATACAAATTATTAAGAACAAATATCATCAATGAGAGCAAATATACACATGGGATTGGTAGTATGTCAAGCTTTTTAAATAAATCTCTACATGTGTGAGTTGGGCCCACTCCCATCATCATTCTTATTATTTTCTTTTGTATAACAAAGACCTTATGACTGTCTGATGTATTTCGCCAGTGAATGATAATATGCATAATATACAGCTTTAAGACTGTTTATATTTAATATATTGGATAATTTATGCATTAGAAAACCAACTGTGCTCAACTTGTGAAGCAAAAAATCAATATGCCCCTTACAAGTTAGACGATTGTCCAGCTGCAAACCGAGAAATTCTATCGTTTCTACTTCTTTCAGCTTTTTGTATGCTATGCATACATTTCCTGATTTCTGTTTTGCAGCAAGCAGCAGTGGTTTTCTGAAGACACAGAAAGATTACTGAAGTCTCTTAAATAGTCCAATGAAGGTTCCTCTTGCTCAGCTTTGTAGGTTTATAATTTTTAATTCAGTTCAGTTCAATTCTTATTTATTTGCATGCCAACTCAACAGCCCAAAGGCCAATTACAAAGTGAGTGTGAGTGAAAGTAACAAACAGACACACAGAGTACAAAACAAGGCAATTTATATCATCTGAGTAATGTGATGATAATAAAATAGTAATAATAACAAAACTCAAAGTTATAATTTAGGTGGTGGTGAAGATAATGATGATAATGATGTTTATTATATATAATTAAAACCTAATTTTATGTAAGAGTAAATATATTTTTCTGGTCATGTGAATAAATATTAACATTTTTGAGCTTATTGCAATAAACACTTGAGCATGGATATCGGGATGTTTATATAATTCCTTCTGAAGAAGGCTGGCAGTTGCTTACTGTGTGCTTTTGCAAGCTGTTTATTTTCAAGTCCTTTGTCTTCTTATCTGTTGTGATCTGCAGCAGACTTCACTTTCTTGGCACTGATGACTCATGAGCATGATACAGAGACATATTGAAGAGTTCTGTCTTTTTGGATGTAACGCTGTGTAGGGCATTGAAACTCAACTGACATTTTGGAGGAACACACTGCCTCTATCTTCAGGGTCAAGAAGTATGCCAAACAAGAAATCAGCAGGAAGCAGTTACCAAGACAACATGTTTGTCCAGAACTTTGGTTGACCTTCAGTGGACTGCATGGCGGTGTATCCCAGAAGATACAACTCTATGAAAACCTAAAATTCTACATCATGAAATGTTTCTTTTCAAATATAAGTTACAGGTTAACATAAAACAAAAAGTATGTTATAAATTACATATAAGTGTGTTCACAGGTGTGACATGTTTCAGGTGCTTGCAGAATTGTCCACAATGGGCATTCCTGCAAGAACTCATCAGCAGGGAGAGTTCTCAGTTATCCACGGACTCAGAGCAGCAATAGAAGCATTGTGTGAGTGTTCTGACATTCAGCACGAAAAGAGAACTTCACTGACAGAAAATGCCAGCAAAGTGTTGAACAGATGTCGTGTGATTTGCATAACTTCTGCGCGGGACAATAACAGCATGAAGAGTTTAAAGGAGATATTCCAGAATGTCCTCATCCAGCACAACAAAATTGCTGCAGGGTCTGATCAGTAGGTGGCATTTGTCTTGTCAGTGAGTGAAGCACCTGCATCTCTGGGGTGTAGATCCTTCTGAGCACTATGATTTTGTCTCTTCACCACTGCTTCCAGTACATCTACTCAGCATCATATCTGACAGGACAAAACGACTCTGATGTGACATTTATGGTACTGCTGCTTCATCCCTCCTCCTTTCTTTTAAATCTGTGAATCTCCTTACAGCCTACCCCTCTCCATATCCCCCCCCCCCTGCTGTTAGTGCCATTCCCTCCCCTTTCCAATCACACAGTAACATTGGTCACTTAGTATTGCCAAGATCTAGATGAATGCACTGTTACAGCCATGCCCCCTTTATCATTATGACATTGTGATTAGGCACAGGGGTAAGAATGTTTTCCCTTTTATAAAACACTTCGAACTGAGGGACTGTATTTGTGTGTCCTTCCTGAAATGTTTTTACGTGAACCACAGCTGTGAGGTATCTGTCATCTTGCATTGGTGGGTGGGGGGGTGGACACGAGTAAAACCAGTTTCCTAGGATCTGAATAAGTTGGACAATTTTTAATTTTTAGCCAAGTGTCAGTTAAAGACACTTCCATAGCAGGTCTGATAATCTGTACCCCAGCCAGCTGCATCTCCTCTGCATGCAGTGAATGTCGGCATACAGACTGCTGCAAGTTCTACTTGAGATCTTATTCCTCGTCTTGTTCTCTTTCAGCCTAATTACCGTGCACCACTGTCACCTGGTCATTATCAATGTCTACCCAAATAATGTGGAATCACAAGTGACAAGCCATCCTCCAAGAGATGTAAGTACATGTTGATATCAGATGTCCTGCAAAGTATATACTTTGAGTGACCTGTTGTACTCTGGACAGTAAAGCAATTGGCTTCAGACTGAATGGACGTAGTTGAAGTTCCAGTGGAGATGCTCCAATTTTTCTTATGACCAGATCATTGCAAACAGGTGCGGAATGCACCCAGCCCCTTGTCCAGCGGGTACCAAGGGTTTCTTCTCTAAAGGTAAAGTTGTCAAGTTCAACACTCACCTTCATCTAATGCCAAGGTCCAGAATGCATGGAGCTTTGCCTCCATACTTCCCATATTCCTACATGGCACTGTTCTTGCACACATGGATAACTCTGCTTGTGTGTTTTCTCATTTTCCACTTTTTCTTTGTGAGTCATGACTCAAACTTTTGTTTCATTGCTTGCAAGTTAGAGGTACGTTTATTGAGATTCCTATAGTTTGTACCAGAGGTTATGTGTCTACACGGGCCTTCATATTGCTGTCTTAATGCTGGTCAGTGAGAATAAGTGGTTTGCAAGATGCAGAACCAGAGGTCAATACTTGTCCCAGACTGCAGAAGTCTCACAGACAGGAGAGAAACCAAAGGTGGTTTTTGTATTTTCAAACTGGGAAACTTCAGTTATTAGCAGTGTGACAGTTTAGTGGGAAGGCTAATCATGTGTGTTCACTGTGACTCCTGTGTGAACATGTCCTGTATGTAAGATTTGAGGCTTTCACGGCGGTGACTATGAAGAAAGCAGTCTTCTGGGATTTGGCACCGTGTATATGTGGTGTTAACCGACGTTTCAGAGGAACGTATCGCCTCCATCTTCAGGGTAGAAGAGGGGTACCGTGAGAACCGGTAAAAGCAGACTGCTTTTACCGGTTCTCACGGTCTCTTTCCTTGCAGATTTCTTATATATTTTTTCTTCTACCCTGAAGATGGAGGCGATACGTTCCTCTGAAACGTCGGTTAACACCACATATACACGGTGCCAAATCTCAGAAGACTGCTTTCTTCATGTCCTGTATGAATTTGTTCTAGAAAATAAGCTCGATCATTACTTCATTATACTTTCAAAGAAATTAAAAATGTTAACATTTGCGTAAACTGTGATTAACACATTTTGCCATACTAAACATACCCATGGCAATATTCAATATGACAACACTAACTGAAAAACACATAGTTCCATTAGTGTAACATATGTCACAATATTTTTGCTTTTGTACGTTCAGTATTTTAATATGACCATGTGCTTCTGAAAGTATTTTTTTATATTTGCAGTGTTACAGACAGTAATGAAACAGACACTCATTTCACACCTATTTTCAATTGCTCTGTGACATATTTTTTTAAATTCTGCTGTATCTTCTGATATGTTTAAAAATATTCAACACAAGACAATGTTTCAGTTTTGTGTAATGGTAATAAAAATTTTAACTATATCTTTGGTTTCTTATATGATATATAAATGTTTGTAAGATTTCTGCTGTTTGTTACATTGTTGGCAGCATTGCAGAGGTACTGCCTCAGTCACCAAGATAGAAGAGAAACCTTCAATTTATTTTATTTTATTTGCTTTGTGACTAAGAATTCTGTGTTGCATGCTAGGAAAAGATATTAAATTGTACTCACTGGAACAAAACAGTGAACAAATAAAATTGCTACCCTCTTTCCCAAAAATAATTGTAATGATAATTCATGTATGTTACAGCTCTCAGCCATCTTGACTACAGAAGTCCATTCAGTTAAGGCTGGAGGTCAGATTGCATCAAAATTATCAAATTTGATCCTGAATCATTATGATCTTGGCTCTACAACTGTAACTGGAATCCCAATGAAAGAGGAACAGAATGCAAGTTCATCAGCTAACTATGATGTTGAAATATTTCATTCGTCAGCTGCACACACATCTATACTGAAAGGTTTGAAACAACATTTCATTCTTCATGTGCACACATATCTGTGCTGAAAGATCTGAAATAGTTGTTCTTTCAACTTCACATGTAGTAGGCATGGTGAAATTTGTTCAGAACATTGACGCGTTTTTATTGCTTTTAGCTCGGACTGAAACTAACATTGATACGATATGTGTGTATGTATTACAGGTAATGCTGCTGACTCTGCCTTGATCAGGACGCAGCGTGAGGGTGCTGATTATGAGACAGTGACACTTAAATGGTGTACCCCTAGGGGCTGCAGTGCGTCTGAGATGCAGAACTGTATTGCCATGCACCGTATCACTCCTGTGGATGTTAACAGGTACCCAGAGTAAACTAGAGATGTATCTGGCTGCAAAACTGTAGTAACACACAGCTATATATTTGAGGTTGATTTTGCAATGCTGTTAGTAGCTGAGCCTAAGTAGCAATTGTAGGATGACTGCTGAATTGGAAAGGATTTGGAAGGAACTGTTGTGGTGTAATCGAGATGCTTTCCCAGCATTTTGCCTGGAGGGAATGAGGAAAACCTCAGGAGAGATACCTGGTGTCTAGTCTGAGATTTGAGTCAAGCATGTTCCAAATAGAGGTTCAACAGACATAGCATCACATTATTGTGATGGCACATGTACAGAAACATGATACCATTTCATGTTCCAGTAACTTAATTACAAAAATGTTATTTTTTTAAAGTCGCCCATCATCATGCCTAATCAACTTCCTGCTCAATGGCCGTTCAGTAATGCTGGAAATGCCCCGTAAGGCTGGCGGTAAGATGATATCTCACCTCCTGGCAGCCCATGGAGGGGAGATATTTGTTCACACACTGGTCACAGCAAGAAGTGTGCTTGAGGACCCACCATCCATCAGTGAAGGCTGCGGTGGCAGAGTTACAGACTACAGAATTACAGTAAGACATGCTGTCTGTAGATTTTCACTGATTACTCTAACAGATTTTAATTCTACTCACGTTGGAAAGTGACTATCGAAAGTTGCACGTGTCTCATTCCACTACAGACAATTCATATTCACATTTTAAAGCACACTGATTATTATAATTACCATCTGCATTAACACCGAAAGACTGCCTTCAGGCTTCAGAGGATTAATTGCTTTTATTTCCTGTGAAGGACTTTGGTGCGCTTATGCAAAACAACAAGTTGGTACCTCTGAAGCGAAAGTTTGATGATTCAGACACCGAGACACCACTGAGCAGAATGAGATCAAGGTTAGATCGTCACACAAGATACTGGCCCATCACCATATCATCAACTTTCATATTCAACTTAAAAAATGTAAGTCGATGAGTGCCTTCCACTTGTAAGGAAGTGTGAATGTCGCAGAGAGGAGGGATATAGTCTTCTTGGATGTGACACCACGTAATTTGGTAGGAAGGTAGGTACTAGCATTTTGGAGGAATCTGTTATTTCCATCCCCTCACTTCATATACCCTCAAAATGGAGACAGGAGGTTCCCCTGAATATTTGTACCTATCTACCAAACTATATGGTGTCACATTCCAGGGGACCGTATTCTTCATGTGGTATGGCTGTTTGAGCATGGGTTAATAATACTTTGTTTTATCAGGAAGTTTTTTGCACTTTTTTTATCCTGTATGAAAGGATTTATTGAGTGACATGATTGGGCAGATTATGAAGATCGTTACTGCCAACAGGATTTTGTTTTGTTGTTTGCACTTAAAAAAATTTGTAGATTAATATACCATTGTCACAAACTTGTAGAGCTTATTTATAAGCTGGAAATAATTATTTTATTCAAGAAGCCTGAAGGGGAGAGACTCACTTGAGAGACCTACACATGGATGGAATAATAATAAGTACACATATTAAAAATCAGGGTACGAGAATAGTCTCTGTGCCAATAATGCGATCCTAACTCCTTTGTTTTTTGTTTTAAGAATTGAATGCTTTAGCATTGTTGATCTATTATCAGAGAATTTGTTCCTTTGAAGAACGCCTAAAATGGCACACCCAGTTACATTAAGTGGAAGATATTGATGTTACTTGTAATGATATTTGTTTCTGTGTTCGATAGTACATTGACCCTCTGCCAGCGCTTCTAGTGAAGGAGGAAATGACCGATGAAGAAGTAGTCCAGTGCAAACAGGTCATATACAGTCTCATTAACTTGGAAACAAAACACGAGCCTCTGCAGATGCCAAATATGGGACAGAGGGGGAAGGGACCCAAGCGGTGCGTTGACACTAGAAACAGTTCCGTCAGTTTCTTTAAAAAAAACATGTCCCTAAGGCAATGTACTAGTAGAAGCCAGTGGGCTGATGTGCAGTGCATATTGCATATTTATTGGGTAACTGAGATATGTTTATGCTCTGCTACAACCTGGAATATTGTTGCTTACAGGTTCACAGCGTATAGTAGCTAAAACTTTAAATTAAGAGTAACATTCAGATTAAGAAATTACATTTTATTAATGTGATCAAAAGTAGGATTGGGAATGAGGATTTGAACTGTATCCAAGAAAAAAGTACCACCATACTTGCAGATCATGTTAACGGCTATAGCTGGCTTATATACTGGCAAGAGTAGAAGGTAAATTTTCTAATATCTTTGGGTGTTGAAGAAAACTATCTTCTGGGATCTAACGCCATGTAATCTGTTGAAATGAGGTGGCAAGCAGAGTCAATACTGGCATCTTGTTCAGCTTATTCTTCAACCCTGAAGATGGAGGCGGTGTGTTTCTCCAGTGTCAGTAGACTTTCAACGGACTACATGGTGTTATATTCCAGAAGATAGTTCTCTTCATAACCACTGCTGTGAGAACCTCAAGTCCTACACCTCTGTTAGATCTGTCGTCTGAAAGTACACACACATACACATATCTGTGCTGTGCATGGCTACGTGACCCGGTCACCAGAACCTTGAGAATGCTGTGTACAGACTGATTGGTATGTGCCGGAAGACAGGCAGAGAAGCTTCCAAGAGTTAAGGTATTCATGTTTCTTGCAGGGAGGAGCAGTACCGTATCATGTGGAGCGAGCTTGAAACATTCCTGCGTGCAAATTGTCGCACAGATCAGCACAATCGAGTGCTGAATTGTCTCCTGGAGTGTCGGAACAAATCTGACGATGAGAAGATTAAACTGGAGAAGAAAGATGATAAAGTGGAACTGGACCAGGCACTTCGAGAGTTAGACCAGTAAGGCTTTTCTTTTATCGCCACCTGTCACATTTGGTGGAGGTAGGGGGACAGAGTATCCCCCCCCCCTAAAGCAAAGTCTGTTTTAAAAACTTGTTACTGCCACATTTGTGAGGTACATATCTGAATTTATTTAATATATATAGTACCTAACACTGGACTATTATGCAGTCATATCAAAATTCATAATTTATGTTTACATCTGGGGGGAAGAAAATCATGTCGTTAACACTGACACTTAAAGAATAAAGGTTTATCTTTTCTCCAAGACCAAACAACATGCTGATTCGCATCTCTTGCAGAATAAATAAATGTATGGTGACCATATTATTGAACAGTGAACAAAATGTAACTTCTTGTTTGAGAAATATGAACATTTTACAGTTAAATATAAAAAGACACGCTATTAAAACTGTAGAGTGACGTCATATCTGCTGTTATAGATATCTCAACAATTCTTCATTGAAGTGACTATTACAATGTAATAAGCATGTCTCGAAAAATATGCTTTCCCAAGTTTTGAGAAAACAAGATTTTAAAACTAATATAT